CCCCCGTTGTGTGGACCGCCCCCCCCCCCCCCAGCCCCAGGACTCCAAGGCCACGCTTCACGCACACACTTCACAGAGGCCTGTTCCTGCAGCTCTGCCTAAGATAACTTCTAAGAATCAGACAAACTGGAATGTTTGTATGTGACTTGGGACCCCGCATATACTCGGCCTTCAGAGTGCTGAAGGGCTCTGGGGCTCTGCAGTCTACCTACACAGACCCTGGAAACAAACAGCATCCCGGCTAACCTGGAACTGGGGTTTGGGGGCCCAGATGACCTTCAAGTTAGGACGGCACAGATGATGTGCAACCACAAATAAACCCATTAAATAAAGTCTTAAGCTGTGTCTTAAATACGGGTATCGCTAAACAGGTCTTCCTCTCAGACCCATGCGGAGGGCTGCATGGACGCGTGGGGTCAGACTCTGCTCCACCACAAGGCACTGGGATTATGTCTTCCTATAATACGACGTGTGAGAACAGTCCATTCTATCCAATGATGATGAAAACTGAGCTCAAAATAGGTGTCTTTAAAAATCCTATCACAACTGTTTGATCCATAATGGTCTTCTCTAAAAGAGCTGCACTGTCATGTTCAGAGGAGAAACCGGCTCCACAGCGAGCACATGCGAAGGTGATCTCAGTATTTTGCAAATATGCAAGGCAGGTCTCGCAGCTGGGGCTTTGGCCTGGGTTTTGTCTTCTTTAGCACATGGCTTGGGGATGGGACAGCCAGGGACCCCACTGGGCCCAGGATCCCCTGACCAGCAGGATGCCTGAGGCACCTGACCGGATGCCTGGGGGTGGACAGATCAGAAATGTGGGTGTGCAGATCATATGACACTGCACAAACGCTGCGCTCCTAGCACAGCCAGCTCCCTCGCCAGCAATGGCTGCCCACTGAGACACCTGTCTAGGTCGTCCAATGATAACTCGAGGCCGGAGCACCACGTCGGTCAGTACCTTCTGCAGCAGGCGCTGCTCCTGGGTTGGAGGACGTCAAGTGTCAAGCAGTATTCCTCTAGAACTCATGCCTTCTCCAGGACACACAAGCGGCAGGAAACGTGCAATGAGCGCCATGATCTGAGACCTGCACGTCCAGCGCCCACCCAGACCCGAGTTAGCCAAGTCTCTCCTCTGAAGTGTCACAACTTCCGTGGCACACCAGGTCCTTTCCCGTGAAGCTGAGAAGCATCTGGAAAATAAGCAAAAACAGAACACACGTCTTTCAGGACAGAAGCTCTGATTTCTTGAGGCAGCAGTAACCACTTCTCACGGGATCACTGACATAGCACAAGTCCCTGAACACAGCATTGCTCTAATTCTCAAACAAGCCACAAGACAATGGTGGAGGCTGCCCATCTGCACTGTATTGTGGCAGCCCCAGCATGCAGGGACACTGTGGCTGTGGAGCACAATGGTCAGAGAACAGTGACTCCACTATGCAACTTGGGCCACCACTACCATTCCATGGCAAGCCCTTAACATGTGGGACTCAAGGCAGCAACAATCACTCTCTTGCTAACATCGAAAGACCCTCAGGTCCTGTAAAGCCAAGTTCAACGACACTGGCATCCTAAGTCCACAGAGGAAAGAAAGGAAAGCAAAGCAGACACCAGTCCCACAGCTGAAATGTGCTGAGGGCTTTCGGCTCACAGCCTCGTCTGCCCTACAACCTGAAGTACCTCTAGGGAGTACATTGCGCAGATACCCTGCTTTAGCACAGCTACTTTTTTGATGGCCTTTTAACACCCAGCAGAAAACAGATGATGATACAAGATACAGTTTCTCTCTCTGTCACTGAAAATACCGCAGATCAACAGTGTTTTCAATGGCTCTTCAATTATTTTTTTTCCACTGAAAGCAAGCTGAGGTTGGGCAATCTGGCTTTTACAATACAAGCTCTCGGGTAGCTCCGGACCTTCCTGCATTATACTCGAACTTGGAGGGCAGTCGCTAGTTTGCAGTCAGTCGCTGGATGCTACTGCTTCTCCAGAAGGAAAAAGGAGGGTTTAAGCCCTGGAAGAAGCAGAATTTCCATCTTGGAGACCTCCAAGTCCTTTCTCACCTTGGATGATCTCTGGCATTCACTAGGAATGCCTGAACCTCAGGACCCTGATGGCAAGGACCCACAGTGAATCAGGAGGTAGTCAGGGACTTCAAAGCCATCTGGGGGTTTGGCAGGCACAGCCCAAGGATCCTCGTCTCACTCCCACCTAGCACCAATCCCTGGGGTTACCAGGTCTGGCTCTCCCTTCACCGAGGTGGCCCACCAGCCACATCTAGATCAGGTCTACAGGAGCTGGAAGAACAGTAGCTCAGACCCGAGATCTCAGAATTCCATGACGTGATCCAAGAAGGTAGGATTCTGGACAAAGTGAGGCAAATCCCCATACTGCTAAGGAGCCAATCCAGGGCACATGCACCCTCTTCTCACGTGCCACTGGGCTTCCAGAGGCTCCCTGTTTCTGACAGCACTGCCCTGAGAGGGCAGCGTGGAGGGCACTGGCTTCATTCCTCGTGTGTTCCCAAATCTGTTCAATGTGGTCTGTACATCTGGACTTGGAGGTGCTCCTCTCCAGGACCCACGTGAACACCCAAGCTCAGCTGCCCTCCCTGCCGCAGCCCCTCACTGCCATGTGCACTTTCCCTCTTACAGAAACCTAGGTTAGAGTCTCCTGTTGACTGAGAATGCCGGAAGGCACAGCAGCTTTAACTGTAAGGTCCTGCAGTGCCCAACCAGCTTTAAAGTGACAGGCATCAACATCTTCCGTTCTCACAGAAGAGGAAGCGCTGACGAGGACAGTTGGGAGCCCCCTCACCCCCGGGCCCACACTCAGCCCCCATGCCTTGCTCTGTGATCATGCAGGCCAAGATCGACTGGTGGCAATTCCGATCAGGGTAGGGACTCAGGGAGCGCTCCAAGGGGAGAGTTAAGTCAATCTGAACACCCACGAAGACAAACTAGGACAAGGGCACACTGACGCTGAGATGAGACACTGACAACCCCAGCAGCTGCTAAACCTCTAGGGTGGAGAAGATGGCACCCGGTGCATGGGGCAGGTCACTGTCTGGTGATTACCTGGCAGACTCTGCGGGGCATGGGTGGACACGGCAGCGTGTGGGAGAGGCGCTGCGTGGGGTGGGCTGGGGTGCAAGCCAGCCAGAAGACCTGGGAGAAACAGGAGGTGAGAAAAGAACAAAACACACACATTGAAGACTGGGACAGAAAGGCAGCTCTGGCAGCCAAGAGCCCCCAACAGCCTGCAGGGCCAGTCTAGGTACCAAAACCACGGGAGGGGTGCAGCGTGCTTCCAGGAGCTGTTCCCCCGGCCACATGCCAGACATGAACATAGGAGTCACAGCACACGACAACAGAAGGACCCTCAGTCACAGCCCAGAGGCTCCCAAAGTGGTAAGAGGCAGGAGAGAAGCACTTACTACTGTGGTTGAGGCCGTGGTGGAAAGGCCCGGAGGCCGGGCCTGTGACGATGGCATCCTTGGAGACCCCTGCCTTGGCAGAGGAGTCTGTGCTGAAGGATAGCATGTGGAGAGGAATCGGGACGGAGGTGATGATCCCCATCGGGCCTGAGTTCATGGCCCCGGGCAGCTTCGGGCTGCTGGCCTTGTAGGTGGAGGGGAGCATGTTCAAGGAAGGGGCGCTGGTCAGCAGCACAGCCCCACTTGCTCCTTTCTGGGGAGGAGACATGGCACAGTCAGAACCCTGGGCCTGCCACGGCCACTCACTGACCACACCTGACAGCACACAGGACGGGGACACACACAGACATGGCAGAATCCCTTCCACGCCCCAGCCAGATGGCCACCCCAGAGGGAGGGGCAGGAATGGTCTCCAGAATACACAGTGGGGCTATTATACTTGCTTCCTTTGGGAAGAACACCACGTACAGATGTGTAAAAATAGACGTATACCCCAGTACACATGTACATGTATTTATGTCCAGAAAACACATACACATACATACACACTCATACATAGATACATATTTGTATACGTTTATTAATCTTCGTTTAAAAACAAAAAACAGGGACCAGCAGTTGGTGTATTGGCTATATCACTGGACTCCCATATAGTCGATCATGGTTTGAGTCCCAGACCCGGTGGCTTAAACTCACACCGGGTGCGTGTGTGTGCATGCCCAAGATCCCGAGAGGAGAATGAAGGAGAAGGGTTGCGGTGTGGCCATCCCCCTTGGGGGGTTATCTCTCACTTTCTGTCTCTCTCTGTCTTCTGGCAAGCGCATGTGACCTATAGCTAAAACCTCTCCAAAATCAAGAGAGTAAAAACTAAAATAAAAATAAATAAACCAGAAACTAAAGGGCATGGTTACCTAGGGGTGGTAGGAGCAGAGAAGAGGGAAATGAGGCCTTTTTGAATGAAACTTTCTCTTCTTTCTTTCTTTCTTTTTTTGGGGGGGCGGGGGGGAGCACACCCGCACATGCCCCCGGCCTGAGTTTAAGCCATTGGGTCTGGGACTCAAACCATGGTCTACTACATGGGAGTCCAGTGACGTAGCCATTACACATCTCCTGGTCCCCTGAACAGACCTTTCTGTGGTTTCGTCTTTGCAACCACATAATTGTTTTAAGTTGCAAAAATAAAATACTCTCTGATTTCCCTGGCCTGCATCCAAACTTCTCATAATTACCCGCAAGCAGGACTCTGTAACTGCTGGGCTCTGTCAAATCACTGTGGCTTGACCTGCAGGGTCCTTCAAAAGCTCAGCAGAGCACTGCTCTGAGAAGGTACTGCAATTTCTGGGGCATGAACACTTCCACACACTATGACCTGAAGGTGACAGCATGTCCATCATCTGGACTGGAGATGGACAGGTCAGTACAGATCACAGAAGCCAAGTTCTATTGCTCAACCTGCACTACGGGCCCAGCCTCCCTCTAGGCATGGTACCGACTCTCCTCTCATTCCAAGTGCCTCGTAAGGAGACAGCCCACCAGGAAAGTGCAGACTGAGTGCAGGAAGCCCAGCCCTCCTTCCAGCCTCATAAGGAGACAGCCCACCAAGGAAGTGCAGACCGAGTGCAGGAAGCCCAGCCCTCCTTCCAGCCTCATAAGGAGACAGCCCACCAGGGAAGTGCAGACTGAGTGCGAGAAGCCCAGTCCTCCTTCCAACCTCATAAGGAGACGGCCCACCAGGGAAGTGCAGACCGAGTGCAGGAAGCCCAGTCCTCCTTCCAACCTCATAAGGAGACGGCCCACCAGGGAAGTGCAGACCGAGTGCAGGAAGCCCAGTCCTCCTTCCAACCTCATAAGGAGACGGCCCACCAGGGAAGTGCAGACCGAGTGCAGGAAGCCCAGCCCTCCTTCTAGCACCTGAGCTCCTGGCTCCTACCTACCCTGCACTGTCAGATCACATTCTCCACTCGGGACAAGGTGTGCAGTTCTGCCCCCAGAGCCCTGTGGGCAGGGCGGGCTGCTCTGCTGGATACTCACTGGCAAGGAGGTAGACGCTGTCACACTACTGACCGCGGTGGGCTTCAGGGACGAGGTCAGTAACTTTGCCACGCCCTGGGTCCCGCCACTGGAATCTCCATTTGGACCACCCGGAGGGGCCACCAGAGTCAACTTCTGGGAGACTGGCGGTTTCTTCACTGCTGTGCTCGGGACAGGTCGGCTGGCAGGCTGTCCTGCAGAGGGAGGTGGCACACCAGGGTGCAGGGTCCCGGAAGCAGAAGTCTGAGCTGCAGTGCCTCCAGAGGGGCTTCCAGGTGACACCCCGTGTTTAGAGACGGAGACAGCGAAGGGACTGCTCTTGTAAGACGGTCCCGTGCAGCTGGCTAAGTGCTGTTTTGCTGGATGGCTCAGAGCAGTGGAGGATGAGGCTGGGGTCTTGTGAGAGCCACTGCCAGAAGCTGGTGAGCCTGCTGAGGCGGCCGGCGTGGTGGGATGGAAGCCCTGGCTTCTGGCTGCTGTCTTCACCAACTGGAGGGAACGATGGCACTGTGGAGAGGGAACCTTTGGGCCTTGGGGTTTGCTGACCAACGGGGCTGGGGGGGTGGCACCCCTCTGCTGCTGAGTGCCTGCATGAAAGACCCTGACCTGGGGGGCAGGCCCAGTGGCTGCTGCTGGGGGCCCGTGAGACGTCCGTGGCAAACCGTGGTGCTTTGCTTTGGGCTGGTGTATGTCCTGCAGGCCCTTGCCAAGGGGAGCCTGGCAGGGTGGCTCTTTGTAGACAGGACTCTCTGGTTTCTTCTCCTGAGAGGACTGCCCCAGTGCCAGTGCCTGTTCAGCCAGGAGACTGAGGGGTGACTGCAGAGTGTTGCCAGGAGGTGGCGCAGCAGGGCCAGGCTTGACCACGTTCCTCTTTTCTTCCACACACGACACACCTGTAGCCTTTTCTGCGGGCACTTTTGAGGGTGCAGGAAAGGTGAATTCAGAGCTCCCAGCCACTCTGCTACTCAATACAGCCAGTTCCTTGGACACAGCCTCCACTGAGGAGGCAGGATTGCGGATCAAGTCTCCATCCAATGAGTCCTCCAGGTCGACAGGAGGAGGGTTGGCAAGGCCACCAGATGCCAGGGATGGGAGCTCTCTGTTCACAGCCCCAAGGCTCAGGCCTCCTCCCTGATGTTCTGAGGGCAAAGCCTGTCCTGCCGGGACAGGAACCTTCTTATCAGACTTAGCAGATGATTCCTAAAAGAAAGCAGAAACGCTTATGTTTAGTCACATCCGCAGATGCAGACACTGGCCTGTCATGAAGACCTAAGCGTGAGTTACGACTCGGTCAGAAAGAACAGGCCCTTCTGCTCTTGAGCACAAAACGGGGTGGAGGACTGGCTTGACTTCGGAGACTGCCACTCAAGCAGTGCACATGCATCCCTCAGTCTCCTGGCTGAACAGGCACTGGCACATGCCTGACTGGTAGGAGCTGTGTTTGCCTTGCTGCTAAGCACATGTACACACTCACACCCACACCCACAGGAAAACTTTCCTTCTGTTTCTGGAAAAGTGCAAGACTCAGGCAGAGAGGCCCTCTGCTGACCAGCACTCTGGATTTCCGAGTGTTCCGAGCTGCTCCTGGGCTGGTGCCCAGCCCAAGAACTGAGGCGGCCTTCAGCTAGCTCTATCGACTGTTCCCGGCACCTGTCTCCTCAGGCTGGGTTCCACAGAAAGTTCTTTACAGGGAGTGGGAATAGGTCTGTCCTCCCACTCCCACAGCCCTCGTGCCTAACGCAGTGCATCTCAGCCACAGTCGGGGCTCGACACACGCACAGGAGAGAATGCGCTGTACACCTGATCCCCAGGGTCTGTCTCGGTATGGTTAAGGGTACCACCAGCAGTCACCGACTGGTGAGAAACATTACTGG